GCCACAAAAATACTAATACAGATGCTCAAGCCCAACTCCTATAGTTCCTTACTATTTCTACCATTACAATTTAATGACGTTTAGGCTTTTCACAAGGTCTATTGCTCTCCCTCCAAGATAATGCACTAATATTTTATTCTGTTCTTGAAACAGGCGTGTAGAGTAGTGTTCTATGATCAAAACTTCCTACAAAGGAATAAAGTACCTATTAAGGCAGTGAACAAGGGTCTTATTTTGGAAAAGATTGATGAACCTCAAAGTGTTTTACTACATGTGATAATTGTATGTTAATTGGCAAAAATATTCTTTCAATCCAGGAGGAACACCTTCTTTACTCTACTACAAATACAGAGTGTGAGGCTGACATGGAATGGATATGAGTGACATGGTGATCCTAAACAGGTATAGAAATACATAGTTATTTTCAGGATATGTATTTACCAAACGTGGCCGATTTAAATTTTATATTTTATTGTATTTTAAATGATTTAGCCTTCTATGAACTTGTTTGTCAGTAGTTGGTTTTGCTTATATAAAAGAAGATTTAAAGCCATCATGATTTAATTTTTAATAGTTATGCAACACATGACTGCTGCAATTTCACTCCATCAGGAAAGAATGAAGGGTCTGAAGTCATTTTGACACTAACTTCATATATAAAAATCTTTTGTAAATAACAAAGATTGTTTTTGTCTGTAAAGTGGCCAAATATTAAGCAAATATGTTTTAAAACTGAAATTATTTCTAAAATTTCTATTGACCAATAGCTTACCCTTAGAACCAAGCAACAAGAGTAATGCTGTGCAATCTCTTAAAGCATGCTTGTCAGAGAATTAAATACTTCACTACCTGAAATCCATTAGCACCATTAGAGCAAAGTAACCAGCTGTGCCAATGTCACACTATGGCATTCCGAATATTGAGAAAAATCCATCTCTGTATGTCCTTTGATGTCTTAGGTAATTGTGACATTGGCCATGTTGGTGTCATTTCTTGAATCTATATAGTAACACAAGCAGGTCTTCCTCTACGCATTGGAGATTCTAACTTTAGAACCACCTGTCTTGAAGCACAGGACTTGAACTGTACTCTTCATTTGGCTGGGTCTCATTAATTCTTGTTTCCATTTAGTTGTGAGAGAATGCATTCAGGCAGAAAGCCAATTTGTATCCTGCAGGTATATTGTCCTTGGGACCTGTAGACTTATACAGAGGGAGAAAGTAGTTTTCATGTTTTAAAAATCATAATATAAGAAAAAACGAAGCTGGGTGTGATTGGTTATGGCTATAATCTCTGTACTCTAGAGGAGGAATAGGTTATTGGGTTTGATACAAAGAGGGAGGAGGGAGAGAGGCAAGATAAAAAGGAAGGGAACAAATAAAAGATAAGCTGTGCTTTCCCTAATGGCTACCCTACAATTTCATACCCAGGTAAGACTAAATTCTCAAGGAAATAGTTTTTAACAGGGTTTCGTTTCCCTCATTCTGTATTTGACTAGCTAGGACTCTGAACTACTGTGCTAGTTTTAGTCAACCTCTGAACAGAAGCAATGGCTCTTTCTAACACTATTACTATTTTCTTATCTATTATATTTATTATCCTATAAAAATAAAATTTTGTTTTATGAATTAATTAATTGCAATATTCTGGCCAAATACAATTTTTATAGAACTTCAAGGTTTTCTTCACAAGTGGACCAATGTTGACTTCTAGTTACAAGGACAGACATCCTTCAAGTCTTAATATGTACACTACATAGATAAACAGCCAATTTCACTTTTCTACAATTAAACACTGAGATACTGATCTTATGCTTATCAAGAAAATAATTAGAGATTTTTGTCAAGTAAAATTTATGCTACCCACCTTAATAATACTGACACGAAATTCAACTAATCATAGATTCTATGAATGAGAGTAAATACTTATACTATTCATTTTTCTTTGCTGAATATATGTACTTTGTGTATCTGAGTCTTTTTCTCCTAAAAGTGAATATTATGTCATCAACTTAGGTTGATGAGTATTTCATATGATTCTGATTAACATAGCAAGATTTCATTTTATTTTTATGATTGTTCTGAGTAGGCAATCTCAAATATAATGTATACTATTTTCAATCCATACTGATTACATTTGTAAATATTATAATATTAAAAAACATAGTGTAGTTTGTTTATGGAATTACAATCTGTTTCAGAGGTCATGACTCACAATGATAAGACAGAGGTGACAGCATGGCAGTCACATTTAATTTTAAAGCTTAAATGAAAATCTGAATCTTCCGTGGAAATGATGGGCAAGTATCATGCTTAAAAAGTAGATATGCATCTGACTAAATGAGTTTATTCTGCCATTATTCTATGTTGTGTATATTCTAACCATTTTTACAGATAAAAATCTGGTTGGAAGGATAAAAAGTTTGGGGATTGTGAAGTTTGCTTTCTGATTTCTCCTCACCACAGATATTCTGTAGATTGAGATATTTCTATTATTGTAGTAAGTTCTTAAGATAATCAACTTAGAAAAAAATGTTTATTTCTGTTAATGGTTGTATATGTTTCAATATAGAGTTGGTTGGACCTAGTGTTTTGGACTTCAGTGAGGCAGTATTCATGGGATAAGTGAGCAGTGAAATGAAAACTTGCTTTTCAAGGTGAGGATCAAAGAGAGGATATAGGGAGGGAATAAAGGTATACTGGGATTGCACTGGGGTTGCATACAGTTGTTCAACAGCATATCGCCAACAGATTTCCTGGTAGTCTAGCTCCTAAAATCATTCCATCCCCTCTTTTACAATGCTCCCTGATTCAGAGATGCACGAAATTTGATGTAGATGCATTCATTTAGGCTGGCTCCCCATGATCTGTTTTGTTCTCTGCATTGCGTCCAGTTTGATTTTCTATGGTAGTCTCTGTTAGCTCTACAGAAAATCTTCTTTGATGAACTATAAGAACCTCACTTAGCCATGATCATAATAATAAAATTTAGAATGAGGTTGTTTTTATTAAGGAAAATACTGACAATTCAATAAAATCACTTTGCCTAGAATTATTTGCACCATGTGGAAGTCCTATTTTATCCTCACGGCCTCTCTCTCTCTCTCTCTCTCTCTCTCTCTCTCTCTCTCTCTCTCTCTCTCTCTCTCTCTCTCTCTCTCTCTCTCTCTCTCGGTATCTGATAGACTATTTGACTAACTGAAAAGGAAGTTTGAGTGGATAGAATCTTAAAATCAGTTATTCTGTAATCATCACCATTGAGACACAATCACCTTATCCCGTTGGCTATCCATTTTTACACTAGCATTAATTTTGAATCTCATAGAATCCATAATATCTTCAATAAAGTCTCTTTAATAGTGCTTATTCCCATAATGCCATGCAACATAATGATAGAACTATGTTGTGGAAGTCTGAGGAAGAATTAAGACATTGAGACCCCCCCTCTCCAGCTCACTAAACATGTGTGGGTCAAGAATGAGATTACATTTATATACTTTTCTTCACTTAACTCTCATACCAGCCTTATGATTTGTTCTTCCACCTATTTAAAACCATGACAACATCAGTCATTAAAGCAGCAAGGCTATATGGCTATCAAGGCCTTATGATGAACTAAAATATGGCTTTTGCAAACGTTGGCATTCCCTTGTCATCACATGGAGTACTAAGGTTTTTGTATAGTAAACAAGTACTTATTTGTATGGCAGAGAGGAAAGGCAACTAAATATTAGTAATCTAAATCTTCTTCCATTTCTTCTTATATATGTATGTATGTATATATATATATTTAATTTAAATTAGAAACAATCTTATTTTACATATCAATCCCTCCCATCCTCCCATGCCCCCAATGACCCCCCATCCCTTCCCTCAACCACTCCCCAGGGAGGGTGAAGCCTTCCATGAGGGATCATTAAAAATCTGTCAAGTCATTTGAGGCAATGCCTAGGCCCTCCCCTATGTATTTAGGCTAAAAGAGTATCCCACCATGGGAAACGGTCTCCTGAAGTTCCTGCACTAGGGGTACATCCTGGTTCCACTGCCAAAGGCCCCATAGACTGCCCAGTGCTCCTAACCGACATCCACGTTCAGGGGGCCTGGCTTGATCCTATGTTGGTTCACCAGCTATCAGACTTGGGTCCATGAGTTCCCATTTGCTCAGGTCAGCTGTTTCTGTGGGTTTTCCCAGCGTGGTCTTGACCCCTTTGTTCATCACTCCTTCCTATCTGAAACTGGATTAGAGGAGTTTGGCTCAGTGCTTGGCTGTGGATCTCTGCTTCTGCTCCCATCAGCTACTGGATGAAGGCTCTAAGATGGCAATTAAGGTAGTCATCATTCTCATTATAGGGGACAGACATTTAAGGTAGCCATTCCACTATTGCTTAGGGTTCTATTTGGGGACATCCTTGTGTAGCTCTATCTAATTCCCTACTGCCAGATTTCTCTTTAAACATATAGTGGCTCCCTCTATTGATGAGTCTCTTTTCTTGCTCTCCTCTATTCCTTTCCCCACTCAATCTTCCTGATCCCTCATGTTCTCCTCTACCCTCCTCTTCTCCCCTCCTCTTTCTTCTACCTCCACTTCTTCTCATATTACCCATTTGTTCAGGGGCTCTTGTCCATTTCTGTTTCACTGGGGAACGTACATGTCTCCCATATGGTCCTCCTTGTTTACTAGTTCTCTGGAGGTGTGGATTGTAGGCTGGTAATTCTTTTCACTATGTCTAGAATCAATATATGAGTGAGTACATATCACATTTGTCTTTCTGTGACTGAGTTACCTCACTTGGGATGGTTTCTTCTATTTCCATCCATTTGCCTGCAAATTTCAAGATTCCATTGTTTTTCTGCTGAGTAGTACTCCAGTGTGTAAATATACCACATTGTCTATATCTTTTCTTCAGTTGAGTGATGTCTAGGTTGCTTCCAGGTTCTGGCTATTACAAAGAATGCTGCTATGAACAAACTTTAACATATATCCTTTTGTATGAATGTGCATCCTTTGAGCATATGCCTATTGGCACAGGATACCGTTTCTTCTTAAATGTTCTTTGTTGTCTGTTGTGCTGTTACAAGTTACTCTATTCACAAATATTTCCTAGAAATTGCATTGTTTTTAGTTCTTTTATTTTCCAAATGTTAGAATCATAAAGGGAAAATTAAATAATTCGGTATTTCCTATATTTTGTCCTGTAATGAAAATATTCTTATCATTCAAACCAGAAATTGCTTCAGAGGTTCATATTATGAGCAATTCCATTACAGTACAGCCAATGAACACTTTTGGGAAGATAAGATGTTTAGAGGCTGGTGTCTAGCTGGCAGAATAGGAACTGAAGACAGGTCTTTGAAGATGACCACCTGGATTTCCTCACACTGGGCCTGTTTGCTACTGCTTCTTGGTCCTCCATGACTGCTCTTCTGAGCTCCTTTCTCTCACCCATTTGAATGAGATGCTCTATCTGCCTTCCTTGCATTGAAGATCGGAGATTCACTGAAATTTTAAGTCAAAGTCAGTCTTTCTCTCATAAGTAGTTCCTGAGTTTATGTGGTTATGGTAGTAAAACAATCATATATTAACACACACACACACACACACATATATATATAGGTTGTATGAAGGAAAACTTCAAGTACATGTAACCCATCAGTTAGTACAAGAGCATATTCACTATGTTATGTTTTTTTTCACTATGTTATGTTTTAACTATCATCCTGCATCAATTTTTATTTTACCTAGCACACACATTTTTGTGCTGTATCAGTTCCATTATTTGGTGTGGTGAAATACCATGACCAAAATCAAGTTGAGGAAGAGAGTGTTTATTTACCTTAAAGTTCCTGGGGTGAGTCCTCTGGATAGGGAATGCACATGGTGGCTGCAGTAGCTAGAAACCGGCTGCTTACTCTTTTATCTAAACAAAGGAAGCAGAGAGAGGAAAGCAGGGTGAGGTTATAAACTCTCAAACCCCATAACAAGTCTTATACTATAACAATATATATTTTCTTCAGCAATGCTCCATCTCCCAATATTTGTATGATTTCTACAAGCCAGGAGCAAGAGTCCATACACCTGGGTCTATATGGAACATAAATATATACAAACCACCACATATGAGGGCAAATGAGGCCACAGTGCAATTTTTGAATGTTTCTTTTTCCTTTCATATGAGGTATATATAATAAGTTATTTATCCTCTCACCATATTCAAAAAACTCTGATCTTCTGCTATTGTATATTTAAGCACATGGCTAATTTTACTTGGGGAAAAATCACTTCCTAGGATGTGTATTTAGACAAAAGTCTACAAATTTATATAACACAAAGCAGTGACAGTTTCTACTTTTGAGTTGGTAATATTTTACCATAACGTTATACATTATTTTTATATAAACTACTTGTAAACACATTTTATAACAGATAATATTTCTAAATATAGTGAGATATTTGAAATAAAGTGAGTAATGTATTTAATAAATCTATATTACAGAAAGATATTTCAAAGCAAGATGTTAGAGATTGTTTCAAGTCACAAATGCAAAATAATAAAGAGGAAGAATAATAACATGATGATAAGAGTGAGTGTTGGAAACAGGAAGCAGGTGGAAGCCTGATGATTTATAAGATCTGATAGAGCAAAACCATGTAAAGTCAATAGGGAAAACCAAGGGACAGCAGATTGACAGATTTCTTGACAGATTCAGAAATGGATAGCATTTTCTTCTAAAGTGTGTGCAAGTGTGTGTGTGTGTGTGTGTGTGTGTGAGAGAGAGAGAGAGAGAGAGAGAGAGAGAGAGAGAGACAGAGAGACAGAGAGAGAGAGACAGAGAGAGGAGAGAGGGGGTGGAAACTGGTTTAAGAAATTCAACTTCCTTGGTACACAGTTAGTCTGAATCCCACCTCATTCTCTATTTTCATGCCCCAGGGTATTAATTCCCTTATGATAATACAAGTCATGTCTGGAGTGAAGAGGTGGATATGAATAATTCAGAGAGGCAATGCTGTTCTGAAACTGTGGTTGTTGAATATTTTCATAATAAATAAATATTCAGACTTCATAGGTTCTTTCTCTACAGTTTCTTGTAACCAAAAACTAGAGCCTAGTTACAAAATTCCCGTTTTTCCGTACAAATTTAAGCTGACAAAGACAAAAGAGATACAAATTTAATAATGGAGGCCCACAATAAAATGTCCATCCTGTTTTTTAAACCTCCACATAAGAGGTTATTTTTCTCAAGAACTTGATGCTGGCCTTGTGATCTTCTGATTACTAAGCCCAGACAAGATATCAGGACCTCTGGCCTTCAAAACTCTGATATGTGTATTCTCATAGACCTCTAAGGTAAGCTGTTATACAGCAGCAAAACCTGATGTGGGAAAGTTCCTGATGCATTTGACTCCTGCATCCTTTCATAAGGTGTTTCTCAAATGTGCACAGCCAAAATCAGGCTGAACAAGGTTGAAACTTCCACTGACCTTAAGGCAAGAATGAGTTAGAAAGACTCCAAAAAGTAAGTGATTGAAAGCAACAGTGAACAAAAAGAAATCGCCGAAATGTTGAGTACATGATGTTAGGATAGAAAAAGTAATTAAGGCTGGAACATTGAAAGAAGGTCCAAAGTGAGGTTCCCTCAGGTAAATTGATTTACTAGGATAACTATGGAATTTGTACATATTAAGAGTTAGATAAAGACAGTTGGTAGTCAATGTGAACATGTAAAATCCATAAACTAACATTCTATACCTGCCTCTGGTGTATGGCAATGTTTAACCCCAGAGAAAATAATCACATTAGAACCTTTAAAATAATAATAGTAAAATAGACAGCTCAGGCTTTGTGCAATATTTTATAAGAACTAGTGATTTCTACTATTAATGTAATTAAACTTAGAATTCATTTCTAGGAAAAGAGAAAGCTACATGTGTCCTGCAGTTAGTTGATTTATTGAAGTTACAGAGACCTATATTTCCATTTTATTTAATGAGAAACTAATTAACCATGATGTCTAATACTGAAAGAATATCAAAAGAATAATTAGATGTGTTATTGTAAATATGAAGATAACCAGTTGAATAAACAGCAAGCAGTTAAAAGTCAGAGCTGCTTCAGAATAAGAGGAAATCGGGTATTTGTGGATTGCTGGTTTGCTCAAGAAACCTTTTAAAACTGTCTTAAAATTTATGCTGTGTATAACTTGTAATAGAAAAAAGACATTATTTTAAAGTGCACAAAATGCTACTTTCAGCTAATTTTATGGAAAATTACTCAAATAGCATAGGGTTTTAAAATGTGATGTGTAAAACTACACTGGTTAAGTATTCTAAATCCCTGGCTCCTTGACAGTCTAAGTTTGTCCGAGTCTACATTATGATGTATTCCTTGTAGGATCCCACTATTTTCGTTTATATTGTGTGTGTATTTAAGTGTGTACTTATGTGTGCTTATTACGGAAATAACATACCATTTGGCTAAATTCTCTTAATATTGATTTCTTAGCATCAATACAGTGGTCAAAACTTCAATGTTATATGTGAAGTAATTTCAGCACAGGAATCAGTGCCTCTCTGTGGACAGAATTTTAAAAATGTGAGTGTTCAGTACACACCACTTAAGGATATACCCTATCTTTCTATATGTCTATTTTTCAACCATTTACCTCATCCCCAACTATCGATATATGCAAAGTAATCATCAAGTTATTTTAGTTCATCAGTTCATATTTAGACATCCAATTATAATCTAACACTTCAAGATTCACTGAAACCTTCCTTTTTCCTTATTTGTGATATTTAAAAACAACATTGATATGCAAAAGGTTTATGATATATCTGCAAAGACATGTTAACATTTTCACTCATGACCTTGTGAGAAATGGACTTTCGAACTATACAAAGTATGTATGTACAGTTTCTTGTCTCTTTAGTCTAACAGTAAACATCCATTTGTTCCCCAGAGTTTCTTATACTGTATTTTTTACACTTTTTTATTATATATTTAAATTAGAAACAAGCTTGCTTCCCATGTCAGTCCCAGCTCCCTCTCCCTCCCCTTCACATCCACTCCCTCTGCCGGCTCCCCCAGCTCCCCACCCAATCCCCACTCCATTCCACAGAGAGGGTAAAGACCTCAATGCTGGATCTCTAGAGTCTGTCAATTCATTCCGGGGAGGGTCTAGGCCCTCCCCAACTTGTCCTAATTAAGAAAACATCCCTCATTTGTGGGATGGGTCCCCAAAGTCCATTTGTGTGCCAGGAATAAATGCTGACACCCACATTCAGGGGGTCTGGATCAGTCCCATGCTGGCCTCTCAGCCATCAGGCTGGGGTCCAAGATCTCCCCCTTTTTCAGATCAGCAAATCTGGGATTCACCAGTCAAGTCCTGACCACCTTTGCTCATCACTCCTCCCTCTCTGTCACTGGGTTCCAGGAGTTCAGTTCAGTTCAGTTCAGTGTTTAGCAGTGGGTATCTATCTCTGCTTCAGTCTGTCACTAAATGGAGATTCTAGGATGGGATGTAAGATAGTCGTCAAAATAATTATGGAAGGGGCATTTAAAGTAGTCTCTCCACTACTGCTTAGCTTGCCAGTTGGTGTCATCCTGGTACATCTCTGGAGTTGTTATTAGTGCCAGATCTCCCCTCAAGCCTAGAATGACTCCCTCTATCATGGTATCTCTCATCCTGCTCTCCTCTATTCTTCGCCCAACTCAACTTTCCTGCTCCCCCATGTCCTCCTCTCCCTTCCTCTTGTCTCCCTCTCTTTTTCCTGGATCCCTTTCCCCTCCCCCACTCTGTGCTCCCAATCTGCTCAGGAGATCTTGCCTCATTCCACCTTCTCTGGGGTACCATGTATTCCACCTTCTCTTAGGGTCCTTCCTGTTTCCCTGCCTCTCTGGCAGTGGTAATGTAGACAGGCACTCCCATGATTCATGTCTAAAATCCATATATGACTGAGTACATACCATGATTGTCTTTTTGTCACTGGGTTACCTCACTCAGGATTGCTTCTTCTAGTGCCATTCATTTGCCTGCAAATTTAAGGATTCCATTGTTTTTTTTCTGCTGAATAGTATTCAATTGTGTAAATGTACCACATTTTCTCTATCCAGTCTTCAGTTGAGGGGAATCTAGGTTGCTTCCAGGTTGCTTACAAATAGTGCTGCTATAAACATAGTGTAACAGACGTCCTTGTTATATGAATATGCATCTTTTGGGTGTATGCCTAAGATTGGAATTGCTGGATCTTATGGTAAACTGATTCCCATTTTCTTGAGGAATCTCCATACTGATTTCCATAATGTCTGTATGAGTTGACACTCCCATCAGCAGTGGAGGTGTGTTTCCCTTTCTCCACATCCTCTCCAGCATAAACTGTCATTGGTGTTCTTTATTTTAGTCATTCTGACAGGAGTAAGATGGTATCTCAGAGTTGTTTTGATTTGTATTTCCCTGATTGCTAGAGATGTTGAGCACTTTCTTAAGTGTCTCTCAGCCATTTTAGTCTCCTCTATTGAGAATTCTCTACTTAGTTCTGTAGCCCATTTTTTAATTGGATCCTTTGTTGCTTTGGATATTTGCTTCTGGAGCTCTTTGTAGATTTTGGAGATCAGCCCTCAGTCAGATGTGGGATTAGTGAATATCTTTTCCCATTCTGTGGGCTGCCTTTTTGTCTTGTTGACTGTGTCCTTTGTCTTGCAGAAGCTTTTCAGCTTCAGCAGGTCACATTTATTAATTGTCGATCTTATACTGTTTTGCTGTTTTTTTCTCCACCACAATTACTAGTATGAGAGAGGGAGATTGGTAATATACTCAGCTTCCTTTGTTCCTATCTTATAGCATCTGATGATTGCTCAATCTTGTTAATTAAATATTAATGAATACCGATGCCACAAAGAGTTTAAGTTCAGAATTACCTTTTTATTTTTCAAGTTTCTGTAATAATTTATAGATACCAGATGAAGCTTTTGCTGTAGATTTTGTATAAGCTCTGTTCCTGTTGAGTGGGTGGGAGGAAGATGCCTTTACCTTAATTGATATGTAGACATTATCTCCTCTCTATAAAATGCTAATTCACAAGATGACAAACCAGCAACAGGAAAACTGTCACATTTATGTGATAATAAACAAAAGTCAAAGTGCCAGCACATTGTTTGACATTACCAAATCCTCGTGAAACTTTAAGGACATCTGGTTTGCTAAACTGATTTTGCAGTAGTTGCTCCTACAGTGATTATTTTCCTTATATATTGAAGTTTACTTTCATGTAATAATAGCCCTTGATCATATTGATTAAAATGTGTTTGACTTCAGACAAGTTAAAAACAACATCTTTCAATAGGAACCAATAAATATTAACATTTTTAAAACTTTAATACTTTCTAATACAGGAGAAATCCATTGAGGGATTTCATGTGACAGACATTCTAAAAATGATAAAAATTATTGGGGCAGAAAGCAAATGACATCAGGATTTTCAGGGCTTACACTAGCTTCAATTGGACACCAGGGAATTTTGTATTGGAATAAAAATGTCCTATATCTTGATGTTGATGTCAGGTACGTGAAGGCATACATTTGTCACAATCATCAAACTCTACATTATAAAAAAGGAGATGTTTATCGCATGTAAATTATATCCTAATATAAAGACGTATATGAAATGCAAAGGATAAATGACAAGGTACAGTGTATGGAAGAACGTTTTATTGAAATCATGTTGTGGGTACAGATGAATCCATGGTACAGAGTGTCTGAATAAAACTGTTTTGATCTTAGGCACTGTGAAGGAGGACTTTTGTATTCGTGGGAGATGTTGTCATTTCTAGCAGCAGAATTTGTTTAAAATGAGACTTTGTACATTGAGATAAATAATTTGAAGTATTTTCTAAATGGAGGCAGTCCAATGGGAATGTTTTTTGTTTTTGTTTGTTTGTTTTGTAAAGGCAATATCAGATAACCCAATGAAGTAACCCTGCAATAAGAGATTAAGGGCTATTTGGGGACTCATCATATCTGACTTAAAAGGGACTTCTTTCCAAAACACATTAAGTATTCTGATTACTTTGCATAACTGAGACATACTGAGAAGACAAAAGTCCAGTGAGTGTCTTCTTCAAGTCCTTTCAAAATTAAAATGTAAGGTTTGGTTCCTATCAGTGATCTGAAAGTCCAAATGGAATGAGGCTTGCCCTTGTAAGGCCTGCACTGTGATCTTACTATGTAAGAAGCCATGTGTGGCATTGATTTATAGTTTAGACATATCAAGGTAAGATTCTTGGAGGTTTTTAGCCTAAACACTAGAAAAATACATGAGTGTTGGTTAATTTGGGTCCTTACTTTGTCAGAGACATCCCAGTGAGGGAACAGAAAACTTCAGCATGCTAATGAACCCCTTCAATAACAATGGTGGCAAAGCCATTGATCCAGCTTGGAGGAAATTGCTCTTGTTCCTTAATCACAAGTGGCTTACCAGGTATCCAAGGGGTCTCAAGTTCTTTATAACCTGATGTCTGATGAGAACTGAGAACATAGGAGTCCACTGCTTCTTGCAAGAGGTATATGACAGAAGTAGCAGATGTATTCATCCTGTATCGAGAAGGCCTAAATAGATGTATTAAGCTGGTGCAGTACAGGTGTCATAAGCTGCATAATGGCACTAGGTAGAGAGAAATGGGTTTGAATTTTGAGAGAGTCACTAATGTATGGAAAGCCCAGTATGTGGCAAGAAATAGTTCCCTCACTGGTCTGTAGTCTAGAACTGGCAATGTCAATCCTTTGCTAAAGAATCTATTTGATATTTACAGCCAATATGGGTGATATAGAAATTTCAAGAAGGAAGAGAAGGTAAAAGAATAAAGTCTCTACAGCAGTTGCTCTCAATGCATGGTTTGCAACTCCTGTGTGGGTCGAATGACCCTTTGACAGAGGCCACCTAATACCATCAAAAAACACAGACATTTACATTAGGGTATATAACAGCAACAAAATTACAGTTAGAAAGTAGCCACAACATGAGGAACTGTATTAAAAATTTGCAGCTTTAGGAAGTTTGAGAATCACTGCTCTACACTGAAGGACTCTCTGATAGTAAAACAGATTATAATTTAGCCATATTCTGGAGTGTTCTATAGATTTTAATTTAGCCATATTTTGGAGTGTTCTATTGTGGAATCCAAGTAGACTGGAGAGGAATTTTGCATTGTTTAAACAATTATTCAAACTCAGAACTTATGCAGCAATGTGCAAGAGAGCCTTTGATTTAAAATTTAGGCTACTGGTCTTCAAGAATGCAAATCAAGGACTCCTAAAAGCCTCCAGAACATGACCATTGACAACAGCATGTAGGGAGACAGTATCACTAAACACTCCCCTAGTAACCTGCCCCTTCAATACAGTTATACTTGGTCCAATTCTCTATAGTGGGAGATCCCAAACTATACTCTCCCCCAAAGAGTTCACTTCAAACACATGGACCCAAATGGTGTTCTTCTCAACAATACTGAAACATACCAGTGTTGATGAAGCGACAAGGCTCTGAAGTGGGGTTGATATTAGCAACCATCCTTAAGCGTTATTTCACTATATTAAGTCATATTCTCACAGCCGTGCCTAGAATCCACCAATATAGCTACCTTGCCAGTTAACTTACTCTGAGGATCCTCTGACTTTATGTTTAGAGCCTGGGATGTCAAGTTGTGTGGGTTTTTGGGAGTTCAAACTTTAGTCCTTATAATTGTATTCTAAACATTTTAACTACTCCTCAATGAATTCTTTAGATGCACAACACTGAGAATGGACAGGTGAAATACAAAACATTTTGTCCAAATAAGAGAGAATTCCAAGCAGGACCACAT